AATTGACGACAATTTTCTATTTATTTGCACATTTGTGAAGGTTTTATTTTTTATTATAAATTTTATAAATTTATGGTTAATAAATAATTTATTATGGTTTAGTTTTGTCATTTATTTCTAAATTTATTATTATTGTTACTATTATTATTATTATTATTATTATTATTATTATTATTATTATTATTATTATTATTATTATTATTATTATTATTTTGGCTCGTGACTTGTTTCTGAGTGATTTTTGTATAGCTTTATTTTGAATCTTGTATTTTCGAGACATTCAAGAAGTATAGTAAACTAATTTTTAAATCCGTGAAGGAGGGTATTGATTTGACGATAAATTGAATATCACAGAATAGTGATTAATTTAATATATTATTTAAAAAAGTAATAAATAAAACAATATTGATAATTTTAGTTAGGTTTTTATATGATTTCCTAATTTAAAATTCAAATTCTTAATATTATTTAAAAATATCGAAGATGGACACATAAAATTACAAACGAAAAATCATATGGTAATATATTCCAATGGAAATTCCAACGGATATTCCAATGGTATAGTTTCCATTGGAATGGTTCCAACGAAAATATTTGTTGAAATGTGTTTTTCATTGGAATTTTAAATGAAATTTGATGATTCTAACTGTTATATTTCCAACGGCTTTTTACCGTCGGAATTTTCGTTGGAATATGCAATTTTTGTTGGAATTTTTATTTCCACCCCCGTTGAAAAATCCACCATTGGAATTGTCAAATCCAAAAGAAATTCCAATAGAAAACTCAATCCAACAGAATATTTTTGTTGGAACTTCTGTTGGAATCCATTGAAAAATTCCAACGGAAATAGTAATATTGGAATATTCATTGAAATTGTCGTTGGAATAATTCTATTATAATAAATTTCTGTTGGATTTCATCATTTTCTTGTAGTGTGTAGGCTCAAGAAATATTATAGAGAGCTAGCAATTTTTTCTTTTTGCACACTTTGAGTTTTAGTTGATTATTTGTATTCTTGTGTATATTGAAAGAATTTTCCAAAGTATTATCAGTCTGTTTAGTTCACTTTTTAGAACTCACAATTTATTATTATAATACATAGTTCTTATTTATTATTATTTTTTTTTTTACATAGTTCTTATTTTACTTGACAATGAATGTCACGCATTGTGATTATATATAAATGATCCAAAATTCAAATATTTATGAATTTTTATTTTTTTATATATACATATTATAATTTCCACATATAAATGTAGTGTCAACATATTTCATCCAAAACTAAAGAACAACATGTGATGTTGGTTCTGTATATACATCTGTGGTGTCGAATAATATAATATATTGTCATATATCACGTCACCAGAAGTATATATATCCAACAATGGTGGACAACACTTTTTATTTAATTGCATGATTTAATTATTATTATAAAGATAATTATGGAAGTAATGTACAAGTCAATTATATATATAGCCCCCACAGGGCCACAGTTATCGTCAACACTAAATATAGTTAGATTAATTAATACATTTGGATTAATCTAATAATATTTCAAGCCATACGTGTAATGTTGTGTTTCACAATAAAATATGATGATCTACAAATACGTGTTTAGGATAAGAAAATGTAATCCATGTGTCACATTTCGATAAGGACGTGTCATTCTCCATTAATCAATTACACGCACAATTAATGAATAATAATCATCAATTTTAATATATTAACATATGTCTATTTAATTACTGTGTATATAATATAAACCTCTTAAAAACTACTCCAGCTCGTTTACCTATTTATTTCCCTTTTAAAAAATGATAGATTTATTATAAATAATAATAGTTCAAACTAAAGATTAATATTGACTACCTATTACCCAAGAGCGTTTGGACGAGATGGTTTGGGTCTCTTCCAGCTTAACTAGTGGTCTCGTGTTCGAGCCCTAGGAATGCAGCAGTGTTAAAATCTCTTGAGGGAGAGCTTTGCCGCCCTTGTGGTTCTACTCGGCTCGATTCCGAATTAGTCGGTTCTCCTGTGGATCCGGAAACCGGAAGGTCCCTATACTCAAAAAAAAAAAAAAAATATGTTGACTACCTATTCGCCGACATTTATAGGATACATCAATACACGATAATGTGTAAAAATGGTTTTTAATTAATTGAGACCAGGATAATGCCAAATCTTGCCCAGGATTTTTTGTGTGTAAAATTAATTAATACTACAACATAGGTCATAGAATACCCAAGATTTTTAATGAGTCCAAAAATTTACTAACAAAAGATACATATGTATGTGACGCACCAAATGCCACCAGCCAACTCACATGGGATGGAAATAAATTACACACATGCCAGCAATAATTAAAGTCGAGTAGTATTTAAATAAAATCGGTTCGATATAGGATCTCACACATCCCAAAGAAAGAATCGACATGCGGACTTCCTCGCTGGTATCGGGTTTTCCACACCTCAGAGACGCATTTTCTACTTTGACGAGATCCCTCTCTCTCTTCGCACCTTCATACGGATGGACCAGATGAGATACCCTTCATTCAGATTTGCATAGTCGTTCATACATCTTAGCGCATCTCCTCAGATCAAGATTTATTATTTTGATTTCTCGCTGCAGTTGCCAGCTTTTTATTGTATTTTTTGTTTGACTGGATGTATATCGAATATTGGACGTGTACCCTTGTGACTGTTCAGCCCGTTTAGGGTTTTTTTTTCATGTACAGGATGGGGGTTCGGCTTTAACCTCCATCCTTTTAGGAGTTGTTTTTTTAAAAAAATAAATAAATAAATAATGAAGGGATAAAGTTTGAGAATTTTATTTGATGAATTTTATCTTAGTGATTGTTGTAGATTTTGGATACATTTGTACGTGTTTGATTTTTGACAAACTCTAAGATTCAGACGAAGCTTGCTAGCTTGCGCAAAACAACAAGCTAGCTAGGTTCAATTTTTTGATATTTCCCATTTATTAAAAAAGTATAGTGGATCAATTATAAATTTGTGTAATTAGAAATTAAATTATATCAACTTAAGCACAATAATGGTAGCTATAACTTGTGATAAGAACAAGCAAACAAACATAGATATGTTGTAATTTGTTCAGGGTCTAAAATGCTAAAATAGGTATGAGCCATACCATACACTGTGGGCTCATTATTTTCCCTTCATCACAGTTCTTGTAAATTTCTACACTACCAAAGAGAGATAATCTGTTGCTAACAAGTCAGAACAAAGGTATCATGGCGATTAGGAACTGTGGTGGGACCAACTGTCCATTTAGCAGCACTACAATTTAACACGAAAAGGAGCTATCTTTAAGCAAAATACATAGAAGAAAGTTGCAATATCTGTCGAACAAGCCGGCTCAAATTCTTCCTCAAATCCTTTCTACCACGATCTCAAGCCCTCCGATCTTTCCAAAAAGTTAACTTTTGGTCCGACAATCTCCAGTGGTGAGTATATCTAGGGTTCATGCGTCTTCTTTTTTCCTTAAAAACAAGCCCCCCTTTTTTTTTCTTGATTAGGTTTTCCGAAAAAAAAAAAAACACGTTTTCTTGGTGGGTTTTCTGCGATATAGGTTAGAATCTTGTCATTTCTTGGTGGGTTTATCTTATTTTGTGTGTTTTTTTTATTTTTTGTTTCTGAGAAGTCTATGCTGCCATTGTTGTTTAGTTGGTGATATTTAGTTCATTTTTGCTTTAGCTTGAGGCGCTCTTTTTCTTTTTTCCTCTCCCGATCTTGTATTTATACTGATCGTTTGAGATGGAAGGTTGGCTGCTATCAGTATCTGTATGTGTTTAGAGAACTTTTATGATCCATTTTTTTTTTTT